TCATGGAAAAATATCACCACCTTAATTACATTTGTTTTCTGCACAGAAAATGATGTTTCAGACCAGACATTGGAGAGTTATAAATCCAAATCTAATGAAGACAGTCCAGGCCAGGAGAAGAACGGACACGGTAAAAAGCTTTAACCAACATAAACTAATTTCTGTTAGAGCACTGCTACTGACCACAGCCAGAGCAGACCACAGTCAATCTTACTGTACAGAGATACTTGCCAACTACACATTTTAAACCTGAATATTCTAAACCCAAACCTTTCATACCCAGAGGTCCACTACAGATATTATAGCTTCAGCAAGAAGCATACAAAATGAAAACCATTGCTTTTTATTTGATAGGTTAGGCTGGATAATCACAATGGGTTTATCTAGTTTCTAAATATAATCTACTGAAACGCTATTAAATACAATATGTGTGGTATGTACTAGGAATGCTGCTGTTGTTAAACTGTCCTGAGCGGCTCTTGTCTGATGTCCCCACCAACAAAGCATCCGTGCTGCATCAGCCCTGTCCTCAGCCTCTGATGAGGGATGGAGGCAGCTCTGTCAGCTTCTTCAGCTGGGGTATTTCTGCTCCACGCTTGGTCTTTTGTCTAAACAAAGGCAGCTTTTGGTAGATGAATAAGCCCAGATGGTAAAAATGAGGGAAAATTGCCAGCATCTTTCAACATGAGCTTATTGCAGCTCCTAAACTGCATTAAAAGAGAAAGGGGCTCATAATTATTGTCAAAATATTTTCAAAACTTTCCTTCTTTTTCAGTTTTTTTAAGTACAAAATATTTGAACCATGCAGGTTCCCCCCCACCCTTTTAGAAAATGAGTAATAGATGTCTGTTGATCTTTCAGTTGTCAATCAGAAGTCCAACATGCAATATGTAACAGAAGGATATGTGGAAACAACGCAGAAAAATCCAGGAGAGAAAAACATTGCAATAATAAGCGAGAAAGTGTTTGAATGTGGAAAGGAAACAGATGTATAGCAATGGCAAATCTGTGCAATGTGCAGAAGCACGGCTGTTTCCTGCTATTTATATTGCAGCATTCAGGTATCAATATGGTTTCAAGAAGCAGAAGTACAAATGGCCACCCTCAATCCAAAAGCCAGTTGGGATTGGTTTTCCTGAAACAGTGCACCAGGCAGATGGAACCGGTGCTCCTAGGAACCTGTTAGCATTGAACACACTGTTTTACCTGTAGTCCTCAGAGGATTTCATTAACCACTGCCAGAAACAGAGCTCACCGATCCCATCTCAGGTCCTGTCAGCAGTTGGGGTCCTGGCAAGAGAACACGCAATTAGCCCTGAGGACCACAGGATATGAAGATATAACCTGGACGTCCAGCTGTATTTAATCAAGCAGGAGAGCATCCCAATGTCCAAATTATAAAAAAAAACCCACAACAGCATGTTGTCCCCCTTGCTAGGACTTCTGCCTCAGTTTCTCACCTGCACAATGATAACATCGGAGCATCAGCACCAGTCTGCAAGGGGCCCTGAAACCAAAACATTTCAGTGCTACAACTCTACAGTCTCCCACATCACCTAAGCTTCCAGAGGTGTTATGGATAATATGGAAGTCTTTAAATAAGGGGTTGGCAACGATGAAGAGGATGCATGACACATGATGCGCCCCAAATCCAGGGGACAATCGCCAGGACTTTACACCCGCAGAGCCCCGCCACGCCATCACTGGGAACTACTTCTGTTGCAGAAAGATAAAACTGAATTCCTGAAATAAAGGGAATTTACCTTACAACAGAAAGCTGTATTTATTTTCCCCGTTAGACACCATTGTTTCTCACTAGAAGAAAAATGCCGAAAACTATTTTTGAATACCGAATTAAATAAATGCTCGTGAAGCGACCGCTAGGAATAATTTCGTTTTTTAAGTGGAAAACGGCTTCCCCCTGCAGCCTCCGCCCAGCCCGGGCGCTACCACGCTCCCCGCGGGGGATACGCGCTCCCCCCGCCGCCCTGGCGCTTGGTAG